TAATTGCAGGCTTTTTATTTTCATTTTCCTTTCCTCCTCATTCTTCTCACAGTGGCCATTTTCACTGAGGGCAGATGAATCCACTTCACTTTACTACCTGGAACTCTGTCTGGAACTTTGAGTCTGCTTCCAGGAACTTGTGATAGTGCGAGTGTAGGCAGGTAGCCTACATTAGATAGAGAGCCAGCTGGCCCAGGCTGGGAAAAGAGTTAATAATTCTGTGCTCTTTTCCCGGGCTTTCTGGACCCAGCTTTCCTGCCCTGTGGCATATAAGAGGGGTGTTCAAGTCAAACTGGGACTTTTGAGTTTATATAATAAAAGAACAAACTTCAAGAAGTGGACTGCATTTATTTTTCAGCATACTCCCCTGATACATTTGTACACTTGTTTTAACGTTTAACTAATGCCTGGAAAGCTTTAGCATTGAAAGATTTGTCAGTTAGCCTGAATCTTCCTAAGACAGCCTCCTTCACTTGTGATTGTGCTCACCTTTCCCACAGAAAGTTTTTTTTTTCTTGTGCAATTTCATGACAGGTTAAGCTTTGATTAACCAGGCTCAGGGGTTCCATGCACTGAATGTTCACAGGAATGACTGCTGTGGGCTTGGAACCACCACAGTTGGGATCATCATTGACGGATGTTTCACCATCTTTAAAATGTTACCACCATTCAAATGTCTTATTGCAGCTGAGTGTCTCATCACTGTACTGTGCTTCAAGTCTTCTGTAGATACCCATGGGGATTACACCATCGTTCACAAGAAACTTCACCACCACATGCTGTTCCATGCATACACTAACACTGTTGTCTTCCATCTTGGCTAACGGCCTCTGGACTGGACTGCACTGCGACATGTGCACTGCCTATCAATAAAGGACACACTTGGTACTTACTAGCCACGCTAGCATTCCTTTTTATACCTGAAAAATTAAAAGTCCCAATTTGACTTGAACACCCCTCATATTTTAGGGGGAAAGGCAGCTGGGAGCCGATTTGTGAATATGCTGTGATGCCATGAGCTGCAGAGGGGGACTGCTGTGTCCTGCAGTCCCCTGAAGCTACCAGATGCTGGAGCCTGCCATTTAAGGACTTCAACCTATTGAGGTATGCCTGGGCAGCTAAAGAGTAGTTAGTCAGGAGGACTAAGTGCACTTTATTCTGTATCATTGCAGACGTTCGAGTAAAGTTCTTTAAAAGTTCCAAGCTTGGTCCGGGGATAATTAAATAGGGGTACATGTTGGTTCATAACATACAAAAATAATTTGGGTCAGTAAGGCACATTTGGGGTATGAAGCAAGACCACTACAAAAGGTCACTTAGCAAGACAAGTAGTAGGAGGAATGCAGTTGCTATGGGTAACTGGAACTAGTGCAAAGTGTACAACAGCAAGTCCTTGGGGTGGTACCTGGAGTGGGGGAGGGATCCTCCAGTAGCAAGTGGTTAGTTCGCTGATCCCATCCCTTAGTAGTCGATTGTAGCCTTCCAAGAAATTGTAGCCTTCCCAGGAATTATCTGTGAGGTCCTGGATACATCACCAGTACCTCACTCAACCAGGAAGTGGAAAAAATAGTAACTGTAAGTAAAAGCAAAAAAATGTTTGTTTAACTAATTAATGTAGGATGATTTCATATCAACATGCATCTCTGCATGCTAATGCGATTTTTCACATACTGAATATGCAGCTTTTCTGTATGCTAAACCTTGCCTATGTTCCAGATTAAGCTGGCACTATGATCACTGCCCCAGGTTTCCAACTTCAGGGTGGATCCTTCTTTCTGCAACATCCTATGAAGCCATCCTGGCATGCAGGGACTAGAACTGTGTCTTTCTATACTGTCTGCATCAATAAAAACACACAGCCCAATATTCTAGAATGGTAAGACACTCCCCTGCTCCTCCATTCTGCTCCCTATCTCCAAGCTAACAGACTGGCTGGAGTCTGCACTGTCCATTCAGGGAAGCAGCACTGATAAAGCGGGAGACAGCAGCATTGACAGTTGTAAACTGCAAGTGTTGGAGTAAGACTTTTACCAAAAATTTTACTGGGGAATGTTTATTTTTGTGCTCAGTGTGTTAAGATATTAGGTGAACAGGGGAAAGTATAGGGATCTGCTGTGTTGATAGTTAACAGTTGGATTCCTTCACATCAAGGTGGCTAAGTATTGAGATAAAAAGATAAAAGAACATCTGGGTAGCAGTGACCATAACATGATTTCATTTAATTTATGTTGTAAACAACAAACACATGCTGGAAATATAAAAACACTTAACTTTAAGAAAGCAAATTTAACAAACGCTGAGGGCTACTCTGCAAGACTTAGACCTCATGTACACTGCTACTCCTAAATGTGAGTTTAGAAGCTTTTGGCAATTTTTTTTGCCTAAGTCCCTGAACTCAACTCAATAAAAGCCTATGTGTCCATGTACGCCTAGGCTTTTACCAGAGTTTAGGAGCAGCAGAGTTTAGGGGCAGTTAATGCCTTAATGCAGAAGTATCACATTCTCTCCTTAATGCAGAAGTATCACATTCAGGAGATGAACATTTTGGCCAAAAAAACGCTAGCTGCGTTTAGCACTTTGGTGTTTATTCATGTCAATGCAAAATACTATGGCCAAATGAATGAACGTCCAAGAGCTAAACGCAATACCGCTTTTGTTTCTGCTGCCAGGAGAGCCAAATGTCTAGGGGAGTTCACGTGTACATGAGGCCTTAGACTGGGAGGGAATATTGGCATCAATGATCGCAGAACAGAAATGGGAATTCTTCAAAGCCACTGTATGCAAACACACTGCGAAATATATTCCCATTGGCAAAAAGTGTAAAATGGTAAAAATAAAACATATGTGTCTCACGGCCAAAGTTAAAAAAGCTATAAATAATAAGAAAAGAGCTTTTAAAAATATAAAAATTTATGAACACTATCATTATTTAATTGTTACAAAGAATATAACAGAATATGTAAAAATCAAGGCTGCAAAAATTCATAACAAACGACAAATTGCAAAAGACAGTAGGACAAACCCCCAAAACGTCTTCAAATATATTAATAGTAAAAAAGGTCAGGTCTGAGCATGTAGGCCCCTTACAAAATATGGAGTGGGGGACTGGGGACAAAGGGAAGGCAAATTTATTAAATACCTCCTTCAGCTCTGTGTACACAAAGGAGCATTAGGGAAGTTCATGTCCATAATGGGGATTATATTGACACAGCTCCAGAAGAACCACTGTGGCTCAAAATTGATATGGTTCAGAAAATATTTAAACAGAATAAAGGTGAATAAAGCACCTGGACTAGATGGCATATACCCACAAGTTTTGTTATTTCAAAGTCCATGTATCTATATTTTAGGAACTCTTTAATAAAGCCAATGTGGTGCCTATATGGGATCAAAGCCTTTACCAATTAACTATAGACCTGTTAGTTTAACTTCTGTAGTTAGAAAATAATGAAGTGTATAATCACATAGATGAGTTTGTGCTAGAAAAAAATATTTTAAATAGCAGATAGCATAGATTCATGAAAGATTCATGAAAGACAGAAGTTGTCAATCAAATCTGATTTGTTTTTATGAGGAGGTAAGCAAAACCTTAGACATAGGAGCGTTATATACTTGGATTATGCAAAAGCGTTTGATACAGTTCCCCACACATGGCTAATGTTAAGGTAAAGTCTACAGGCTTGGGAAAATGAGTTTGTAAATGGATAGAAAACTGGCTATAAACCTGAATTCATAGAGTAGTCGTTAATGATTCATACTCTGAATGGTCTAAGGTTTCTAGTGGTGTACCCCAAGGTTCAGTGTTGGTATCCTTACTATTTAATATACAGTATTCATAAATGTTATAGAATCTGGGATTATAAGTATTATTTCAGTCTTTGCAGATGACACCAAGCTATGCAGTGGAATAACGGTGTTACAGGATGTCTCCAATTTACAAGCCGACCTAAATGCACTGTTTAATTTGGCAACTATGTGGAAAGTGAGGTTTAATGTTGATAAGAATATGCATGCATCATACATACTAGGAGAGTACAACGGGGGGAATCATTGGTGGAGAAGGATGTGGGTGTTCTGGTAGATCATAGATTTAAAGAGTAACTCCACTTTAGTTGAGAAAAAAACATTTTACTCTGGATGATCTGTGTACAAGGATTTTAACAAACTTTGTTGCAGATTTTAGTGGTCTGAAGAAATTACTGTTTGTTTATTGCCATATGTGGAGTGAATCTGTATGGAAGTGGTTTTATAATTATCAATCAGGTGCTGCACCTGCAGGGCTCTAATGAGGAAGGTTGCATGGTCTGTATCCTCTTAGACGTGATTTCCCTTTGAGGACATCACACCAAAAATGATATCGGGGAACTGGAGAAAGTGCAGAGAAGGGCAGCCAAACTGATAAGAGGCATAGAGGAGCTCAACTATGAGGAAAGGTAAACTGAACTGAATGTATTTTCTCTTGAAAAGAGGAGATTAGGTGAAATATGATCAACATGTATAAATACATAAGCGGTCCATATAGTGAACTCAGGGTAGAGTCATTCACTTTAAGGTCACCGCAGAGGACAAGGGGGCACTCTTTAAGTCTGGAGGAAAAGAGATTTAATCTCCAAATACAGAAAGGCTTCTGTGGAATAGACTCCCTCAAGAGCTGGTTCTGGACAGCTCAGTAGATTGTTTTAAGAAGGCCTGGATTCTATCCTAAATGTACACAATATAACTGAATACTAATATTTATAGGTAAAGTTGATCTAAGAAATATTCGATTGCCCCTTGGAGGATCAGGAAGAAATCTTTTCCCTGCTGAAGCAAATTGGATCAAGATTTATTGGGGTTTTTTTTCTTCCTCTGGATAAGTCATGGGTATTGGATAGTGTATATGGAGGTTTTCTATTTGTGTGTTTTTTTTTTTCTCTTTGTTGGTTGAACTGATGGATCTTTTTCAACCAGTTTAACTATGTAACTATAATGCTTCAAAATATATATATTTTTTTTTTTAGGGATTGATTTCAAAACTAAAACAATCCATATTGGTGAAACACCATTAAAACTTCAGATCTGGTAAGATTGTGCTTTATATCTGAATGTTGTTTAATCTGCATATAAATATGTACTGACTTTACACAGCGTGCGGCATGTAGTTGTGATTGGTCCCACACATTTATTCAGTATCAGAGATGGAGAATTTACAGTGCCTTGAAAAAGTATTAAAACCCCTTGAAATTTTCCACATTTTGTTATGTTACATCCAAAAACGTAAATGTATTTTATTGGGATTTTATGTGATAGACCAACATGAAGTGGCACATAATTGTGAAGTGTAAGGAAAATTATAAATGGTTTTCAAAAGTGTAGCGTGCATTTGTATTCAGCCCCCCTGAGTCAATACTTTGTAAAACCACCTTTCGCTACATTTACAGCTGCAAGTCTTTTTGGGTATGTCTCCTATTTGTCAGTAATGGGTTAGCAGGAAAGTGGTGGATGGGGCCAGCTAAGCTCTGACACTACCTTTAAGTGTTGGAGGTTTCCTTTTTAGGATTATCTGGTATTTGGGTGAAGCAAAGAATACTGAAAACTACTGGAAGTACAGTATGTTCAGGCACCTCAGAGTGGACTTTTTTTTTTAAAGCAGCCTTTCTCATCCTTTTTTACAAAGAAGGAACCCTTGAAATAATTTTCAGATCTCAGGGCACCCCTGTTACAAATCATATCTACAGTCACAAGGTCAATTAAGGATAGATATAAGAATAAACAAAGGAATAAATCATGATAATGTAAACTATTTGATACCCAAAATATATCATTTCTTTCTACACAATATTATTTTGCATAAATATGGTGTAATTTCACAAACTGGCAATGAGTAAAAAGTGGACAGTAAAAATTGTTGTGTCCTTTATTAGTGGTAGTCAGTGAACGACTTCCTGCAGTGATGTTCAGTGGGAGAAGGACCCCCTTAAGCTGGGTATAACATTTTTTCGATCGACCCAGAGGGCTGAAGAAAAAAAAAAAAAGATCACCTTACTAACACATGTGATGTTAGTGCGGCAATCTCCTCCGCTGTGCCTTTGTGTTTTGACAGGGGGACTCCCCCCACTAGAACACACTGATCAGCATCTGCAGCCATTGGCTGCAAGCACTGATCGGATGCAGGTTGGATGCTGGTTTTCCAGCCTGCCCATCCAACAGAAGCCTGTAGGCAGGTGCAGTCCATTTACTCCACTGTAGGTGGCGCTTGTCTAGAGTGGTATTGCAGGTTGAGAAGAAGTCTTGGGAAACTTAGTTTCTCTGTTGTTTCTTTGGTTCCGGGGAGCAGCGTTTCCGGTTGGCTACACTGCATCCAGGTTATCCTGGCAGCCATCTTTGGTCATGCAGAGTCTTTTTAAGTCCCCATCCCAGGTTTTTTTTGTGTATTTACAAAGTAGCAATGTAGGCAGTGGTGTATTTAGGATTAGTGCTGCCCTGGGCAACACAAAAATTTTTGCCCCCCCCCCCCCCCGTGAGAGAGCGAGGGAGTACAATAAGTATTTGTATGTATATATGATTCTCTCTTTCCCTTTCATTCTCTTCTCTCTCTCCCCTCTCTCTTTCTCTCTCCCTCTTCCGCCCCTCTCTCTTTCTTTCTTTCTTTCTCCCCCCCCCCCCCTCTCTCCCTCTTCCCTCCCTCTTTCTCTCTCCCTCTTCCCTTTCTCTCTCTCTTCTCTCTCTCTATCTTTCTCCATCTTTCTCTCTCTTCCCTGCCTCTCTCTCTTTCTTCCCTCCCTCTCTCTCTCTCTTTCCTCCGTCTTTCTCCCTCTCTTTCCCTCTCTCTTTCTTCCCTCCCTCTCTCTCTTTCCTCTGTCTTTCTCCCCTCTCTTTCTCCCTCTCTCCTCTCTTCTCTCTCTCTCTTCTCCTCCCTTTCTCTCTCTCCCTCCCTTTCTCTCTCTCTCTTCCCTCCCTTTCTCTCTGTCTTCTCTCCATCTCTCAGTTTCTCCCTTCTCTATCCCTCTCTCTTCCTCCCTCTCTCTCTCATCTCTCTCTCTCCTCTCTTCCCCACTCTCTCTTCCCCTTCTCTCTCTCTCCCCCCCTCTCTCTTTCCCCCTCTCTCTTCCCTCTCTCTCTCTCTTCCCCCCTCTCTCTCTTCCGCCTCTCTCTTCCCTCTCTCTTCCCTGTCTCCTTTTTCCCCCCCCCCACTCTCTCTTTCCCCCTCCCCCCTCTCTCTCTCTTAAATCACAGCAGTCAGCCCAATGAGAAGAGATCAGGGCAGGGCCAAGCCACAGCTCCATGTGTGAATGGACACACGGAGCAGCAGGTGCCCCCATAGCAAGCTACTCTCTTTCTCCCTCTCTTTCTCCCTCCCCCCCTCTCTCTCTTTCTTTCCTCCCTCTCTCTCTTTCCTCTATCTTTCTCCCTCTCTTTCTCCCTCTCCCTGTCTCTTTTTCCCTCCATCTCTCTGTTGCTCCCCCTCTCTCTTTCTCCCCCTCTCTCTTCCTCCCTCACTCTCTCGTCTCTCTCTCCTTTTCTTCCCTCTCTCTTCCCCTTCTCTCTCTTCCCTCTCTCTCTTTCCCCTCTCTCTTCCCCCCCCCCCCCACCTCCCCCCCCCTCTCTCTCTCTTCCATCTCTCTCTCTTCCCTCGCTCTTCCGTCTCTCTCTTCTGTCTCTCTCTCTCTTCCCTCCCACTCTCTCTTCCCTCTCTCTCTCTTCCATCTCCCTCTCTCTCTTCCCTCCCTCTCTCTCTTCTGTCTCTCTCTCTCTTTCCCTCTCTCTCTTCGATCACAGCCAGTCAGCCAATGAGAAGAGATCAAGCCACAGCTCCGTGTGTGAATGGACACACGGAGCAGCAGGTGCCCCCATAGCAAGTTACTTGCTGTGGGGGCACCCAACAGACAGGAGGAGCCAGGAGAGCCTGTGGGAGACCCGAGAAATGGAGGATCGAGGCTGCTCTGTGCAAAACCACTGCACACACACAACACCAAGTATAGCATGTTTGTTATTTTACAAAAAAAAATGAACCTTTAGAATCGCTGTAATAGAAAAAATCCCTTTTTACATTGATGGTCACTGATCCCACATTTACTAGCAGGAGATCAATTCACCACTGCCCACTGCTCGGGAAACCCCTATCATCCTCCGGAGGTACCCCAGGGTTCCATGGAACCCTGTTTGAGAATGGCTGTCCATTTAAATTTCTCTACACCCTTTAATGTATATTTCTCATAACCAGCTGCAGCAGTTACTAGCTACTTTTCAATGTGCACAAAGTAAATGTATAATAATCTAAACAGATCATTTATTTAACATATTTACTTCAACAGTTCACTTAGCAGCCCTAACCAGTTCTGTAGCACCAAGTAAGCAATGGAATTGTGGAATTATTATTTTCCTGATAGGTAGGAAAATCACAAGACTTCTTTATTTAGTTACACGGAGCATGTGACTTTACTTCTCATTTAATCACATGATCTGCAGCTAATGTTGCCATTATTTCAGTTCAAGAGAAACATTTTTGTAAAAGTATATATAAACCCAATAACTAAAATCTCATATACCATAAGCCTGAAGGAAAAGTGATTTCAAAAGGCACATCAATATTTTTTTTTTAAATAGTTGATGATCCAACCATGAAGGTCTTTGTGCAAGTACTTGCTGGATGACAGCACTACCTTTCTGGGTCTCAGCTGCTCTTCTGTGTTGTCCCAGTGGACTTTAACAGTGGCTGTGCTAACTCACATTGCACAGGGATGTTCCACTGTTGTGTCCGTAATTAAAGCCACCCTGAGAATGGTGTACAGGCATTGCTGAAGGGTGTGCATGTAGCCAGGGACTGGCTGTAAAGAAGCTGCAGGACATCAGCAGTGCTGATATGCAACAAAAATTAAAAAAACATTTCAAAACAGTATTTTATAAAATTTATTGATACACAGTGCCTTAGCAAACTAAATCTCAGTCAGTTATGGTTTACATATATTTTAAGGGTTTTCTTTTTATTATTTAGCAGATGCTTTAAAATTAGAAAAGCAAATTGGGAAGTAAGTGGGTGCATTTGAGTCAAGTCACATTCTTTTCCATTGTAACAAATATGAGTCAGGTGACTAAGCAAAATATTACACTGTTACTGCTACATTCTCAATTGCATTGCTTTAGTGAGAAATAGAACTACTGTGTTAATATTTCTTATATATGGCCCAAAGGAGCTACAAGAGCCATCTTAATTTGATCGTTTCCCTTTAGCTTTTCTAGAGAATTTGGCTTCTAAATGCTGCAAAACATGTAGCCATAGGCCTAATCAGAATGACTGTTTTACTCTTTTTTTTTAATTTAAATATATTTTTAATATTTTAACCTTGAAAAAGGATAGCTCCTAGTAAGTTGTTTATGGCAAAAGTCAGAAGTGTATATTATTATATTATTTACCTCTCCATTCATTCAGAAATGGCAAATTTGGGCAGAAATAAAGAGTATCTCCAAAGTAGGCTTTTAAATTATAACTACAGGAAAAATGTGTGTTTTGTTTTTTTTTGGTTTTTTTTTAGTTTTGGATAGAGGGCAGAGCTTTTGTCAGTTTTTATTGCTGCCTGTGTCCCGGTTAAGGATATTCAACCTCTCTGTTTGTCCTGTTTATCATTATCATTGAAAACGAAAGTAAAGAAAACCCAAATTTTGGGTTGTCCCTAGAAAAGTAGTAGAAGGGAAATCTTCCAGTGGGAACACTAGTTCTGGTGAACTGGGGGTCCCCAAGGAATTCCCTTAATTTTCAGGGATTATCACTTATTTCCTGTTTGGCTATGAGACTGTCAGGGCAGGAGCTGAGGAACGGACAGGCAGGCCTAACAATGTAAACGCACTGGCTGACGACAACCACCACCCACAGACCAAAGTCCCTCAGGGCACGGAGTCTAAGTCCCAGGCTGCCCTTCACCAGGGCCCCCTGATGGTGGGGATGGACTTGACGCAGCCAGGAACCAGGTCGCGGCCCCCGAGACACCTCAGCTGCGGTAATGGCCGCCGCCAATGGCGTGTAGCTGGTGGAAGAGACAAAAGAGTAGTCAGACAAGCCGGAGTCAACAACAACAGGACAGAAC